ATCGTTATTTATGAAAGTATAATTCAATCTCCATGAGTTTACATGGTTTCTATTATTTTTCTTGTTCGTTATTTGTAATTTCATCTCATTATGATCTGATAAAATACATAGTATTCTATTAATGTTTTCATATTTGCTAAGATTTGCTTTGTGGCCTAGAATATGATCTATTTTGGAAAAAGTTTCATGCACAGCTGAGAAGAAGGAAAATTTAGCTATTTTGGGATAGAATATTCTTAAGCTGTTAGGTCCATTTGATTTATAGTTTTGTTTAGGTTTGAGATATCTTTGTTGATTTTTTGTTTTGATGACCTATTTGTGATAAGAGTGTATTGAAATCCCCCAGTATTATTATGTTGGGGTCTATGTGGAATTTAATGTCATGGAGTATTTGTGTGTGTGTGTGTAATTGGGTGCATTGAACTTTGGGGCATAAATGTTTACTATAGTTATATCTTCTTGTTGGATTGTTCCCTTTACTTGAATGTAATGTCCTTCTTTGTCTTTTCTGATTAATTCTTTCTTGGAATGTACTTTGTCAGGATATGAGAAAAGCTACTCCTGCTTGTTTTCCTGGACCATATGTTTGGAATACTTCTTGTCACTTTTTTACCTTTAGCCTGTGGGTGTCTTTGCCTATAAGATACATCTCATGTAAACAGCATATAGTTGGGTTTTGTTTTTTGATATATTTTGCTGATCTGTATCTTTTAATTGGGAAAGTGAGATCATTAACATTTAGTGGTAGTATGGATATGTGTTCATGGTTTCCTGCCATTTTTTTTTTTTTTTTGCTATATTTTATTCCTGCCTTGTTTTTCATTTAGTGGATCATTCTTTTATTGAACTTCCACTGTGTTTAGGTTTTTGAATTTTTTTTTTTTTGTACTGGGGATTTAACTCAGGGGTATTTGGCCAATGAGCCACATCCCTATTTTTTATTTTATTTAGAGACAGGATCTTACTGAGTTGCTTAGGGCCTTGCTTTTGCTGAGGTTGGCTTTGAACTCATGATCCTTCTGCCTCAGACTCTGGAGTCACTGGGATTGCAGGTGTGCACCACCACACCAGGCATGGAAATTTTTTTTGTTGTTGTTGTTCCTATGTGTGAAGTTTGAGTATTCCGTGTAGTGCTGGTTTGGTTATCATGAATTCTTTTAGTTTATTCTTGTCGTGGAATGTTTTTATTCCCCCTCTAATTTGAAACTAAGTTTTGCTGATTATACCTTGGCTGATAGTTGGTTTCTTTTAGGGTTTGGGATATCTCATTCCGGGGCCTCCTTGATTTTAGAGTCTAAGTAGAGAAATCAGAAGTGAGCCATATTGGTTTGCCTTTAAATGTGACCTGTTATTTCTCTCTTTCAGTTTTAAATATTCTTTCCTTATTTTCTATGTAAGGCATTTTGCTTATGATATGTATCAGTAAGCTTCTCATTTGGCTATTGGGGGACCTTTAAGTGTCCCGTATGTGGATGTCTAAATTATTTCTGATGAAAGTCTCACTGAAAATGTTCTTTATTCCTTTGGTGTGTATCTCTATTGGAGTTCTCTTCTATCCCAGTGATTCTCAGGTTTGATCTTTTAAGTTGTCCCAGAGTTCTTATATATTCTGATCATGTTCTGTATTTTTTCCCCTTACTGCCTTCTGTGTATTCAAGATCATATAGACAGTCTTCAATGCTTGAAATTCTGACTTCAAGGCCTGAGGTTCTATTTTCTATGCCATCTAATCTGTTACTGATATCTTCAAGTGAGTTTATAATTAGATCAATCTTGTTTTTATTTTATAGGAGTTCTGCTTGGCTTCTTTTCACTATTTCTATTTTTATTAAAATGGACTTTATCTTGTATGTTTGCTCTCTTAATTCCTTCCTTAGTTCTTCTTTTAGTTCGTTGAACATGAGATAATCAGCTTTTTAAAAAAATATTTACTTTTTAGTTGTAGTTGGACACAATATCTTTATTTTATTTATGTGGTGCTGAGGATTAAACCCAGGGCCTCACACGTGCTAGGCAGGCACTCTACCACTGAGCCACAACCCAGCCCCGATAATCAGTTTTTTCTATTATTATTATTATTATTATTATTATTTTTGTACCAGGGATTGAACCCAGAGACACTTGGCCACTGTTCTACATCCCCAGCCCTATTTTGTATTATATTTGGAGACACGGTCTCACTGAGTTGCTTATTGCCTTGCCGTTGCTGAGGCTGGCTTTAAACCTGTGATCCTCCTGTCTCAGGCTCTTGAGCTGCTGGGATTACAGGTGGGCACCATGTCACCTGGCTGTTTTTTACAATCTTTTTCTGGGTTTTCATCTACTTCACTATCAGTAGGTCCCTTTGTTGTGGGATTGTGGATTTTGGAGGAATTTTGTTTGCCTATTTTCTCCTATTTTCACAGGTCTTGCTCTTTTGCTCAGTTGATGCATTGATTGCTCCTTTCTTAGGGCACATTCTTCAGTTGCTAAAGTGTCCTAGAGTGATCTGGATTGAGATCCCTCATATGTGTGGTATCCACAGGCTTTCTGTTATTTCACTGTTTCCTCTATGTTAATGGATGTCCATAGATGGGATATGGGGGCCCACATCTAGCTGTTTCTACTTGGGGCCTGGTCTTTCATTTGGGTTTTTGTCTTTTCTATTCTTTGAGGTAAAGTATAGCTGAAGATTGAGTGTCAATAATTAAAGTGGAGCAAGGTGTGCTGTCTTTTGGTTGAATTTAGTTCAGCAGCAGAATTTCTACCCTGTGAACTTGTAGTATCCCTGTAGGTTTCCAGTACCTCACCAATTAGGGGGAAGCAAATAATAGCAATAATCAATGCAAACAATATACAGCATTAAACTAAATACTTGGTTCCTACTATGACATCTATAAATTAATTGCCACAAAAACCAAGAAATGGTAGGATCAGCAATTGCCATCAGAAAAAACAATAAGTAACCGTATATTATATCTGGTATTAAATCAAACTACAGGTCAACTATAACATTCACAGCAGTAATAATTGCAATAGCATTAGTGGTGGGGGCAGGCATTGTACAAACCAACTAGTGCTAAAAGATGTTAAGAATGCAGTTAATTAAGATAAAAGAAAATGTGATAGAAAGGCTGAAAAAAGAGTTTACAATTTCAAAACGTGAATAGAGAGAATGCAGAACAGATGTAGGATGTGATGGTATAAGGAAGGAGTAGAAAAAATAGAAGTAAAAAATTAAAGGAAGAGTGGAAGAGGGAACAATAGAATTCATTAGCAGAAGAAAAGATGTATTCCCAGGGTGGGACTGCTGCAGAGTTCTATGAGTGGAGTTCTAGAAGGTGGAGTTTAGGTCTAATTAGGCCTCACAAGTTTTATTGGGTGGCATCTGCTCTGGAGAGATTAGATCAACATACCCCTAGAGCCTGCTAGTTGCCAGTTTCTGCTGAGAGTCTGGATCTCAGGAGTCTCCATAGGATTCTGTTAATGGATCCAGGAGCCAATCCTTCACCTACTCTGCTGCTCACAAATACAGCCTTTCCCGTCTTCACAGGCTTAGTCCCTGAGTGTTTTCACACTTATAACTTCAGCTATTCTCATGAGCTGCAAGAGTTTTGACCCTTTCACTTTTCTTACTTCAATCCCCGAGTATGATCTTCTCTAGGTCATGAGGCAGGCACTTGCCAGGAATGTGAACCCTCTTTGCTTAAATCTCCTGTTTCCCTCAGCAGCAGCTACAACATGGCCACCTCAAGATAGCTACTGCCTCAGCTCTCCATGGTCAGTTGGGAAACATGAGGTGCTTTTCAGGCACCAGTGTACAGTGCTAAGGGAAGGCTGTTTTTCTGCTCTTCGGATTTTCTATACTAAATCTGTCCATTGTGTTTCTCTGAGTTCTCCTTCCTGTGTTGAACCAGCACTGCTCCTGCTGCTGCTCAAACCAGCTTTGTAAGCAAAAATAACTAAAAATGGGAGCAGACCTCAAAGATCAGCAAGCTGCCTTTTTAAGCACATGGCATATTTTCAGGGGAGAAAATGGTGACTGGTTACAAGAGGAGGTCTGTGTTTCGTAGGTTTTAATGAGAGTTAATCATAGCAGAATGTTTAGTGTGACTTAATCATTAGAGACTTGGGATGTGCTGGCTGGGCAGTCAGGAAACTAGTTGTGCAGGTTAAAATCTAACTCAGGAAAACAGCTGTAAAAGCTTGAAACTCATCTCAGGGAAACAGTTGTAAAAGCTTGAAACTCCTTGTTACTGGGATAAATATCTTTGAGAAAGGATGAAAGCCCATAGCTCAGGGCCTAATGTTTGCCTTCCTCTCCTCCCCTCCCTGATCACACTGTCCTCCTTTTCTCCCTGGTGGCTGTCATTTCTCTTTTCTTGGGGGATGTTATTTTCCATAGCCTTCAAGCTTGACTCCAATGTAATTTTTTTTCTTTCTTAATGGATCCAAATTTCTGAGTCTCTAAAACACTGACTGTCCAATATTGAGTTTTAGTAAAATCCCTCTTTGATCCACCTTGCAGAGAAGCAGTATTTCTGCTCCTTGAATCAAAGGTCACAGAGCAACATGTATGCAGCCTTCCTCTAGTCTACCATCTTGAATCCAACCTAAAGAAAGTCATCCTTGCTGGGGGCAGTAGTGAACACCTGTAATTTCTGTCACTCAGGGGACAGTCTAATCACTAATTCAAGATCAAGTTCAGCAACTGAGACTCTCAGCAATGTATGGAGAACCTGTCTCAAAATAAAAACAAATAGGGCTGGGGACTTAATTTAGTGGTAAGACACTAGGTTGAACACTCAACACCAAAAAAAAAAAAGCCACTGTGTTTAGCATATGGTATCATGGAAAACACATGTTAGAGGGCCTTCTCTACAATCTCTCTCTATAAATATGAGCTACCATTTGTTCAGAATGTTTCTCATTTAACTGCCATTCTGGATTCTGAAAGAGATTTAATTTACTATCTATATAAAGAGAAAAAAGTCAGGCTTTATATTTTTCCCTTTTACTAGGTACTATGAGACTATCAAATCATGCAGCTCATACATTGAATGGTCACAATCAGAGTGGTGATAGAAGTGTTATTTATTCTATGGACAAATTTTGGAATGAAGACTGTCCTTCGGCTACTTTAACTGGTAATATTACACATAATACAAACTATTATATAGGATAGAAAAAAATTGTTAGATATAATGTTTCATTTTCTTACACTATGTTGAGAAAATAATAATATTTGATTCTGCACTATGTTCAAATGAAAATCTGTTTTTATATTAATCTTCATAGGTATTACTGAAGAATTTATTACCTCACTGTTTTACTTCTACAGAAGAATCAGCGGACTTTATATAACTAATACTGAATATGCTTTACTTGCAGCAATGGCTGTGCTTTTTTCAGGTAAAAACCATACAGCAAGCAGTAAAAGCCTGGATTAAATTTTAGCAATGAAATCATAAAGTTGGTTGTTATTAAATTATCATTTGCATCCAAATGCACCAATTTTGTTTTACCATAATTTTCTTGTTATGGGAGCATTCCTTTTTTTTAAAATTTTTATTGTTGGTTGTTCAAAACATTACATAGTTCTTGATATATCATATTTCACACTTTGATTCAAGTGGGTGGGAGCATTCCTTTAAGCTTATGAACATGTTGTAATTTCTTGCATCTTAAAAAAATGCCTTCTTGACCTCACATTCCCATTCATTTTTTCTTCCATTCTTCTGTTCCACTTTATAGAAAAAAATTTTTTTAACAGGGTTGTCTATGCTGCTGCTTCTATTTGTCTCCTCTTACTCATGAGTTCTCTATGGTCAAATTTAGCTCTGTCCTCTCCACTCCCCAGTAACTGGGATTACAGGTGTGAACCACCATCCCCAGCTGGTATTGCCATCTTTAAGCTGCATAAACCAAAATTGTTTCTTTCTTTTTCTTACAAATACAAAACAAATCATTTTGGCTAAATCCTCAAAATATATCTAAAACTTAATGATTTCTTACTATCTCTAGCTAACACCCTAATCGAAACTACTTTCCTCACTGACTTTCGTAATTCTGTGCTTGCTTCTCTAGAATCTATTCTTTATGTAGAAGCCAGGGGAATTGTTTGAAAATATAAGTCAGATCATTCCTCTGTTGTGTCCTTCAATTACTTCCATTTTACACAGATTAAAGCCACAGTTCTTTCTATTATTGTTTACTGTTATCTCTGTTTTACTCCATCCTAGCACATTCCTTTTTTTTTTCCCCCAGGATGAGTGTAAGAGTAGTATTTATTTAAGTGTGTATATAAACAGAACTCTTTCAGGGTGAGAGGGGACCCAACAGAGTTGCCTAGCACATTGCTTTTGACACAGATGTTCCATGGAAATTTCAAGAAGTTTCTTGCCACAGGTTCTACTATGCTTGATAAGTCTTTTGCCTGGAAATGTTTTCCTCCAGATAGACATATGACTCCCTCCTTCACCATTTTGAATCTCTGCTAAGTGTCATTTTATCTTTGATCAGTCTTTTAAAAATAGCTACTTTCCCTTCCTGGTGTGGTAGTGCACACCTGTAATTCTAATAGATCAGGAGTCTGAGGCAGGAGGATAGCAAGTTCAAAGCCAGCTTTAGCAACTTAGCAAGGCCCTAAGCAACTTAGCAAGCCCCTGTCTCAAAATAAAAAATAAAAAGCGTTGGGGAATGTGGCTCAGTAGTTAAGCACCCTGGGTTCAATTCCTTAGTACCAAAAATAAATAAACAAACAATGAAATAAATTGTTATCTCTTTTCCTGTTTATTTTCCTTACACTACATCTATGCTATGTTATATTTTTACTTTTAAAAATATGTATATGCCTCTTTCCTCCCCTACTTCTCCTGAACCCAGAATAAGCTCAATGAGGGGAAGAAATTTTGCCTATTATGTTCACTGTTGTATCTCTGGCACAATGACTAGATGAATAAATGCTGTCCAAGCACTATGAAATTCTTGGTTGGCACTTATATTTTATAGGCAAGTTCTTAAGAAGCTTTGCTTTTTACTTACTGTTGGTCTTGGGAAATTAATAATTTAAGACTTCAAGTAAGCCCTTGCTTGCTCTTATATTCTTAAAACTAATTAATGACCCTTCCTTCCTATGTGACTTCATGAAAATCACTTAATTCTCTAAGTTTCAAGATTATCTGAGAAATGGTGATAAAAATAGAACTTACAACCCCCCCCCCCAAAAAAAAAATATTTTTTGTAGGTACTAGGGATTAAACCCAGGGTCTCAGGAATGCTGGGTGAGCATTCTACTACTGCGCCTCATCCCTCAGACCTTTAAAAATTTTTACTTTGAGACAGGGTCTTGTTAAATTGCCCAGGCTGGCCTTGAATTTGTGATCCTCCTGTTTTAGACTCCTGAGTAGTTGGGATTACATGCCTGTGCCACCAAGCCAGCCCTAATGGAGTATTGTAAAGATTAAATAAAATAATGCACAGAAGCAAGTTACTTATCTTTTTAAAAATATTCATTTTTTAGTTATAGGTGGACATAATATCTTTATTTTATTTTTTTATGTGGGGTTGAGGATCAAACCCAGTGCCTTACACATTGCTGAGTGAGTGCTCTACCTCTGAGTCACAACCCCAGCCCAGCAAGTTACTTATCTTAATGCTTGGCATATGTTAAAGGTTCAGCAAACGTTTGTTATTTAAAAACTGCACTGTCTTAAAATGAATTAATTATCTTCTACCACTTTCCAATATACATTAAGATGAATATAATAATGTTTTTCAGATCGTCCATGTCTTGAAAATAAGCAACAAGTGGAGAATTTACAAGAACCAATTTTACAAATTTTGTATAAATATTCAAAAATTCACCATGCAGAAAACCCACAGCATTTTGCTCATCTCATAGGGAGGCTAACAGAACTGAGAACTCTGAATCACAACTACTCAGAAATACTTAGCACTTGGAAAACAAAGCACCCCAAATTTATTAATTTATTTTCTGAGAAATGGAATGTGTACTCACATTGCTGAAATTTTAGAATGTTGTGGTTTGTCTTGATTTTTCTGTACCTAAATTGGATGACTAATTTGAAAAACATTAACATGACAGCTATATTACCAATATATCACCATAAAATGGATATCATCAATACTCATCAAGTTTTGTGAAATCCTTCTATCACTACATGGACACCTAGGATTCTTTTCAAGATTGGACTCAAAACAAGCAACTCTTATTGTTTCTGCATGGTTTCTCCAAAAGAAAATTACTGTAAGAGTTATCATCTGAAGAAACTCTACTTTTTTCATTTAGTTGAAAATACATAATTTATAGACATTAAAAAAAGGTTATCTAGTGAAAAAGATTGTAATTAAAACAAGTAAATTTCTATCTCATTAATTAACACCAGATTGATGGAATAAGGAACTAACACTTTAAATGTCTTTGAAAAAAGAAGTCTTTAATAAAGTAAATTGGAAAATTTGTGATGAAAGATACTTAAAAAATCAAAAGAACAGCTCTTTAAAATGTTTTAATTGGGAAATTTAGCATGATTTACTTCTCATTCTGGGAGACAACATTTTAACATTTTTGCTAACATCTTTTGTAGAAACAGTGACTTTCCACAAACATTTTAGTCTTTATAGGTATAGGATGGTAATATGTTAAAAATAAAGTTCACGTGAAATACATGAACCAAGAAACTGTGTTGGCATAATTGTTTCCAAAGATTGTAAAAGTAAGTGACACCTGTGACTTTAAGTAATTATATGACTAGAGGTAGTATTTTGGTTTTCAATAAAGAAAACTAGACCACAGTTAAAATTTTCACTATGTAAAACTTTTTAAAATATTGGAATATTGAATTTATAGTCTTGACTTAAAAGTGTTAATTATATGTATCAATTATTGCCCCTAGGGGTACTTTGTGTATATTCTTGGCATCGTTTCTTGGAAGGAGTGTCTTATCAAAAGGACATCTAGGTGCAATTTTTTTAAAATGTCAAATGAAGGAGGGAAACCGGATCATCATTTCCAATTGGAAAATTTTATAATTTTATTAGAAACTGTTGTCTAGTAAATGTATACAAAAAGGGTTATTAAAAAATATTGTTAGGGCTGCGGTTGTGGCTCCGTGGTAGAGCGCTTGCTTAGCATGTGTGAGTCACTGGGTTCAATCCTCAGCAACCACATAAAAAAGTAAATAAAATAAAGTTTTAAAAAGTAAAAAAAGAAAATATATTGCTAAAGTTCTTTGGAGAAGCATCAGATGATATCTGGAGAAAGTTCTAACAAAGCCAGTATCTTCAAAATGTAATGCATTATCTTATTGCTCAAACCTAGGTACCATGCTAATGAAATCTCTCTTAGCTAAGCCTGCAACCAGGTACTCATGTTTGACTTGTCTCTCTTCTATTAAGACGCCATTCGTTTTACTTCCTAAATACCTTTTTCAGATGATACCTCCTCATGTCCACTGCCCTCGTCAGACCCCAGGTCCTCATGTCACCCAGGCTATTAAAACTGTCTTCCCAAACTCCTAAACCATTCTTCACAATGCAGATTTTCTTCTGAATCGGATCATACCACCGTTTCCATTCAAAATTCTTCAAAATTGGGACTGGGGTTGTGGCTCAGCGGTAGAGCTTTTGAGACCCTGGGTTCGATGCTCAGCACCACATAAAAATAAACAAAGAGATTGTGCCCATGTATAACTAAAAAAAAAAAAAAAAAAAAAAAATCTTCAAAATCCCCATCCATGACGTCTAAACCCAAACACCTGTGCACGGAGGGCCTGCTCATCTATCTGCTCTCACCTCTGCACTCACCTTGGGCGCTTTCCCGCCTTGGTCTTCCTCGCACACCTGCGTCAATCTGAGTCTCACTCTCAACCCCAGCGCCTTGGCCCACCTACTCTTAGCCTCCTCTTAGGGTTCCTCCTGGCTCATCTAACCAACTATTCACTCTTTTATTCTCGATTGACGAAAAAACAAGACCAGACTGCACCTGAGAAGCCTGACTCCCGAGCCACCTTCATGACTCTACATAAATTCCACCTTTAAATGCTCGCACAGCCTTCTCTCTATATATATTTTGAACACCTACTTTCCTAAGGTTGTGAGCGCTTAGGGGGCCGGCAGGGCCGTGTCCTTCCCAGCTCGTCTATCCTCCCGCCTGACAGTCTTTCCCAGCATTCTTTGACAATGGCAGAAGTTTCCAGAATGTCCACTCTTGGAAGGAACAGAATCCGGGAAAGGATTGTTCCTGGTGAAAAGGGAGATCTCGCGAGACAAAGTTCTGCGGACCCGGAAGCCTACTCCGAGGAGGACCGTTATTTAGCCGTTAAACTGCCAGTCGCCCGCCCCGGGTGTGGCCGCCCAGGTGGGGCGATTTCCCGCCTTTTCCGAGGTTCGGAGGCGGAAGCTCTTGGTTCTTTCTGCTGCCCTCATAGACGGCAGTTCACGTGGCACCCAGCCCGTGGCCACCCGCTTGTTCTTCAAAGGTGAGGGCAGGTGTGCCGAGTTCCTTCCCCGAGGATGGAACCCGGGGCGGGGGCGACCTGGTGATATGGCGGTTCCCGACTCCGCCAGCCGCCCTTGCCTTGGCGGTGGAGGGCGGGCGGTGCGTTGCATTTTAGTTGGGGGCGCTGAGGAGGGCGCGGGCTGTCACCGCCATGCGGGGCTCGACTTTGTAGCTGGTGTGGGTGGCGGGCGTGGCGGTGGGCGGTGGGGGGCTGGTGGGACCCTAGGGAAGGTCGCGCACGTGGGCCGTTCCTCCAGCCCCGTGGGAGCGAGCCGCGCCCTCTGCAGACCCTGCAGTGCCCTGACCCGGGCACCTGGGACGCCTGCCTTCCACCTCCCGGGCAGCAGGTCCTCGGGGCTGGAGGACGGAATGGAAAAGCCGAAGCCCTTCAAGTTGTTCGTGCCGCCGCGGCTGAGCAGCAGCCAGGTGTCGGCAGTGAAGCCCCAGACCCTGGGAGGGGACGCCAATTTCTTCAAGGTGAGTTTGCGAGCGAGTGGCCATCCTGTACTTATGGCGGAAGAGGCAGAGTGGACTTTGGAGTGGCAGTATTTTGTGATTCCCCCCCCCCCCCCTTTTCGGTAAGTATGGTCTGATTTAACCTAAGGACTTTCAGGAGCCTTGCGCGGGATGAAGGGCGGGGTCCCCGGGCGCAGGAGAGAACGCGTCGCTGCTGCTGTAGAACTGGGCTGCATAGCCTACCCGGGCCATCTAACCTCCTGCCGTAAACGATTGTAGGCAACTTATAAGGCCCCTGCAGCGAAATATAAGTAGGGGAAAATTAGAAAATTTTACGAGGGAAAATACAAATGTTTGAACAAATGCCTCCATAGGGGTGACAATTTGTGTTGTGACTGAGCTTCAGGTTTTGCTCTGAGCTTCCTGGTGGATAGGATAAAGATGGAAATTCGCTTATGTAGTAAAGGTCTCACGGAAAGGAGAAATTATACCAAATTTCTCACGTAAAGCAGCTTTTTCTACTATTGAATTATTAAAAAAAAATTCTCATGTACTTTTCATTGGAGGTGGAATGATGCAGTTAATATTTTAATTTTATATGCTGTAGTTTAAAATTTCTTATGGCTGCTGTAACCAAAGAGTATATCATTTACATGTTATTCAATTGAAGACAATTCTCAGTTCTATTGAGGTGAAGATCATAATGAAGGAAACTCCTAATATTATTCCATACTACTAGTTAAAGTTACCAATATCTAGACGGGTGCGGTGGCACCAGTCTGTAATCCCAGCGGTTGGAGAGGCTAACACAGGAGACTCAAAGTTCAAAGCCTGCCTCAGCAAGAGCGAGGTGCTAAACAACTCAGTGAGACCCTGTCTTTAAATAAAATACAAAATAGAGCTGGGGATGTGGCTCAGTGGCGGAGCGCCCCTGAATTCAATCCCTGGTCCCCCCCCCCCAATAAATTATAATTACAAATACCTACAAAGATTGTGTTGATTTATACATTAGTTTCATTTTATTAGTGAAAATACCTAATTAAAAGTTTTGCTTTGTTAACACAACAAAAGCATTTGGTATTTTAAACTTTGTGTATATTAAAGGATTTATAATTACAGTAAATTCTTTGAGCAGATGTATATCACATATTTGTGTATCTCACTGTTGTATATCACAGTGGTGTGAAGTAATATACTTAAGAACTTTTTTGTATTTTTAGAGTTTCAACAAGTGTATTGAAGATGATTTTGGTTTTCCTTTTGCAACAAATAATCTCTCCAAAAATGGGGAAAACATTGATTCAGGTAGGAGCCTAGACTAACAATATATCATTTTATAGAGAATCATGTTATTATATACATTGCCAGTTGTTGAAAATACAATATACACATTAAGTTGATGTCCTTGATATTAAAACTAGAAGTAATAATTCATGTTAAAATAAGATGTTGGCTTATCTAATATCAGTTGTCTCTTAACTTGCAGATCCTGCTTTACAAAAAGTTAACTTTTTGCCCATGCTTGAGCAGGTCAGTTAATCATAGAGTATATAGATATAATCTATTTAGGTATTGAATTGCTTATTTAAAGAAGAAAAAAAAACTCTTTAGTTGTTGGATTGCTAGTCTTATGTTTTTAATTGCTGTTATTTGGAAGCTCTCAAATATTTTTTTATAGGAAATATTCATTTTTTTAGGTTGATAATTCTGGCAGTTTCCACTATCAGGAAGGACTAAAAGGCTCTGATTTTGAGGTTAGATTTCCCATTCTTATAAACTTTCTTATAATTGGAGTATGATTTATTACTTGTATATATATCTTTCTTTTGAAACTTCAAAGGGATTAATATTGATTAATGTTTTACAATGTATTCTTTAAAGCTGTGTTTTGTCTTTTAAAGTCTCTGAAACACAAGGATTCTGTACTTTGTTGTAAAAGCTTTCAGTTTTTAGGGGCAATTTCTTTTTCTTTTGGTAACTGGTTTTTTTGGGGGTGGAGTGCAGTTTTTTAAACCATAGAAATCAAGACTAGAAGAGGGAAAGTGGATAT